GAGAAGCATTCATTCCTAGCATAGCTTAAAAGTTTACCAGTTCTGTTGTGTTGTTCACAGTTCAAAAACTCTCACTCAAATGAAATCGGCCTGGTTGGTGCGTTTGTAGGGAATTTCGTTAAGTAGTTTGGTCAACTGTTTGGCCGAAAAATCAATGCGTGTGCAGGGCCTTTAATGTGTTGTTTATGAGCATTCCAACCAGGGTTGCCACTGACGAAAAAAAATATTTACCATCCACTTGAGAAAAAATATACCAAATCTAAAAAATATCTACCAATAAATTTTTTTATAGTTATTTTAATAAAAACTATAGCTTTATTTTTTTCTTTTTTTCAATTAAAACTAAAGTTTTGTTATTTTTTTAGTTATTTCAATAAGAATTAAAGTTGTTTTTAAGGAAATTTTTATTTGGCTAATTATACGGTATTTGAGTCATATTATTAGCATATTCGCAGTTTCTTTCAAAGCGGAAGTGATGAAACTAAAGGCAACAACGAAACTTCATAATTTGAAAAACTTCAACTCGAGTTATTATAGACAAATACTTCTTCTTCTTTATTGGCGCTGTAACCGCCTAAGCGATTTTGGCCGAGTCCAAAACAGCACGCCAGTCATTTCTCTTCTGTGCTAACTGACGCCAATTGGAAATGCCAAGTGAAGCCAAGTCCTTCTCCACCTGGTCTTTCCAACGCAGAGGAGGCCTTCCTCTTCCAATGTTATCAGCATCGCGGCCCGCGTTGAAAATTTTCAGAGCAGGAGCGTTTCTGTCCATTCCAACGACATAGCCAAGCCAGCGGAGCCGCTGAATTTTAATTCGCTGCACTATGTCTATATCGTTGTAAAGCTCATACAGCTCATCGTTAAATCGTCTGCGATATTCGTCATCACCAACGCGTAAAGGTCCGTAAATCTTTCGCAGAATCTTTCTCTCGAAAACTCCAAGAGCCGCCTCATCAGATGCTTTCATTGTCCATGCCTCCGCGCCATACACCAGCACAGGCATGATGAGTACTTATAGAGTGTGAACTTTGTACGACGAGAGAGTACTTTACTTCTCAATTGCCTACTCAGCCCAACGTAGCACTTTTTGGCAAGAGTGATTCTCCGTTGGATTTCAAGGCTGACAAATACAGTGACTCAAAAAAGCACCTGGTGATTTTTTTATTATTCGCAATGTTTTTCAAGTAAAATTTTTTTGTTGTTTTAACTAAATTCATAAAAATTAAGGATTCAAACTATATACAACATTTAGAAAAATTCAAAAAATTTTCGTCCAAATTTCGAATTTTTCACTCTGAATTTTTAGAACAATTTAAGATACCGAGTTTTAAAGCAAATAATACTTGAGTATAGCTCACACTGTGGTTCCCGTTGATTTTTTTTTTTTTTTTTAATTTTTTGCCACCAGTCTTTTGTGTTTTTTATTTAACAATTTCTATTGATAAAAAATGACGTTGATTAAATTTTTTTTGCGAACAAGTATAGTGCGTCATTACATACCTGTAAATTTGTTTTTATTTGTATTTAAATAATCATTTAAAATATTTAGGCAATCAAAAGCTGCCCGGGATTCCAGTAAAATGAGTTTTGAATGGAGCACGATATGTTCGCCTTATATCGATATACATTTATACGTATGTAAGTATATAAAAAGTAAGCAAAGAAATTTATAATATAAAGATAACTACGAAAAATAAATCGGTAACGAAGAGTTCAACAAATATCTACCAAAATGAGAAAAAATTTACCTTTTTACCAACCCAAATTTTTTCTACCAATTTTGGTAACAATTTACCAAAGTGGCAACCCTGATTCCAACAGTGGGTGGAAAATAGTTGTGTTTTCGTATTCTCCAGCAAAAAATATCCAGTAACCAAATTTCGGAGAGTAAGCCAATATTTACTCCCAATGAGTGAAATATGCAAGAAAGTACGAAAACGCAAAACCAGAAAGAAGTTGCTAGTTTTATGAACAGCTGATTAATTTGTTATTTTCCGATGCAATTTTCTTAGAAAACTAGTGTTTTCCATCTTATTATATATTAAAATAGGTTTATTTTGTCAATTGCAGCTCTAAGAGCACCACAAACAATTATTATCTTAATGTGATTTACAATAAGCATCATGCCATCAGCTGTTTTTCTTCCTAGCAAATAGTTGCTAGTAAAAATTTACCCAGTAAAAATATAATAAAACTTGCAAGTTCAGCTGTCATTTTTGCTTTCTCAATTTCCCCTCTTTTGCTAGTTTCTTGTAAGTTTTTGCGTACGAAAACGACATCCAGTAAAAAACCAGTAAAATTAGTACTGGATTTACTGGATAGTGCGTACGCGAGCAGGGCTAATATTAGCTGCAAATTCGTATCGGGTTGTGGTTTTGTTACATATTGTTTTTTGTAAATTTTAACAGTTAAATTATAAATTTTTAGTACAATTCCAAGTGTTTCCTGCGTTTTGATACACGTCAGTGCCTTCATTTGCTTAAAATAGGCGAAAACGCAAGTGAAAATTAAAATGTGTGCCCATTTTTCTAAGGGGTCCCTAGGGACCTATATGGGGCCTAGCTGGTCGGCGGTTGTATTTTTGTAAATGGCGGTTCATGCCCTCTCTAAAATGGCGCCATGCCCCCTCCCCCTTCGCCCACCGTCCCTTTAACCAACGCCCTCATTGGAAAGCCAGCGCCAAATTTAGCCTGCAAAGCGCGAACCGCGTCAGCTTTACTAAGTTCTGCAGCTTCTTCGCCCTCACTCTCGTGTAAATAGAACTGTTCCTGCTCGCTATCACTATCAGCAGTCAATTCCCTATGGGGACTTGGACATTTATCCTCACCCTCACTATCACTGACACCAACACTTAAGTCTTTTTGGGAACTCGGAAGCATAAGTACGGAGGGACATTCAATTACATTAACATTTGCTACACATTCCATTGCTTGAGTACATTCCAAAAGTTCTCTAAATCTTTTCGCATCAGATTCAAAGATCCTTTTTTCCTTACTCACGCAATTTTGGAAATACCTCTTTTTCATATTATTTAAACAATTGTTTATACCATGCACAATTTAAGATACTTATCTTCTTATTTTCGGCTATATTCCACCTGGGATTTGATTGGAAAAAACACAAAACTTTCCGAAATTGTTCTGCGATTTGGTAAAATTTAACATAAATACTTCAAAATGGCGGGCGCGTTGCTTTGCGAAAATTTTAGTGATGAGAAATTTGGCTCTGAAAAGTATTCGGTATGAATGAATTTGGTTTCCAAGTACTATTTTTTTGGTTTTGTTAATTTTTTGTGGTGCTAATTTCTATACTCAAGACAAAAATGCAATTTAATTAGTTTTTTATTTCAATTTTCGATACAAAGCAAAATTATTTCCAAGGTAAAATACCAAAATAAATATCTTAAATGGTTCACTTTACATAGTACTCGGATATATTTGGTATTTTGAAGGTAGCAACTACTTTCAATCAGCATGAAATGCAACTCTGTTAAATTAGCTGAAAACAGTCGTAGTACATTGTTGCTATCTCTTTCTTTCAAATTTTGAGGGGTTTCATTCTCGCTAGTACACAGGATTGAACTAATATATGTTCATACTTGCATTTGTGTTGGTTCACTGGTGTGTGTATATTAGTTTCCGTCAGGTTTGTCTAGTAGGGAATTCTTTTTGGGCGACATCTTACAAATGAAAAAGTATGCTGTCGCATGCCCAGTCAACAACTCTATCTCGCTTCCGAAAGTAAAAAGGCAGAATGGAAGCGAGATTTTCAGGCATGTGAAGTCAGCCGGTTAACATCATGAACCAAAAATACAAACACGGTGCAGCGAACAAAGGTGGCGCCGTCAGTGGTACCGCTACTTTGGTTTTGCCGATTTTGACAGTTGTGGTAACTTGTAAATAATCCTTTGTTTACAAATCAGCGAAGAAGAAATTTGAATTATACGTGAAAAATCAGTTTAAATTGTGTTAATTTGCAATTTGTGAGTGATTTTTGAGTTGTAGACTGCGTAAAAACTAATACAATGAAGTGCTGTGTTAAATTGCGACAGCCGTCTAGATGCAAAGAGCGTAGATGCAAGTGTAGCGCTGGGACGAATCGCTGCATTTTGTGTACATAGGGCACGGCAAAGACGTTCCCGAAATGTTTCTCTATTATTATATTAACAGCATTTCCTTACAATGATTTTGTTTCTGCTCCACGCAGCCTCCAATAGCAAGTTAACTAATCAATCCCGCAGAGATGCTGCTGCAGTTTTCTGCAGCAGCCTTAATTTCAAAGCAATGTAGTACACTAAAACGTTTGCTGAAGCAGCCTCAATTGCGAAGCAATGGAGTGCACTAAAATATTCACTGTTCTCTAATAGATTACGTGAAAAATGCAATATTTTCGGATTTAGCAAAATTAAAAAACGTTTTTCGCTGTAAAGTGAACTGGTTTGGCAGTTTCAACTCGTTCTCCTCTTCGCTCTATTCTTTGTTTACTTGTGGTACACAAATGTCAACGCCCAGGGCGGCGCAATCTTGTATTCTATCATTCTTGAAATACAAGATCACGCCTTCTTCTTAGTAGCCCGTTATAATCGCATTTAGGAAAAAAGTTGGGCGACTTTGACATTAGCCGTTTGTTTACATTTGTTCGTTGTTTACAATTTGGTGGTGGCTTTTTACTGCAATTTTCTTAATTTTCGCTTGTGACAACGTGTGCACACATAAGGTAAAGAATAATTTAACACGACATGATTTATAGAAGAATTTGCATAATAAAAATGATTATTCATGCGTTCAAAAATTACGCGGTTTTTTTTTTGTTCTCTTCGTTGTTTACTTCTTCCAACAAAGATGGCTTCGAGATTTCAACAGCTAGAAAATAACTTTTTTCTTTCTTTCGGGAAGGCGTGATCTTGTGTCTTTCGTTCATGGGTTAAACATCGTGTTTATGAACGAAACATCGATGTATTGGAAACATCGATATATCGTTTGAATATCTATATATGTTTACACAGAGGTTAAAATAACAGCTGATTGCCTAATAGGAATTTGTTTATCTGAATTGGATCAAGTAAAAAAATTCAGTTAGCGAAAAAGTGATTGGTTTTATTTATTTATACCTATAGCAAGCTTATTAACAATGGACGAAGTTGATAAAATTATTGTCCATTCGCTTAATCAGATTGGCTGCCAAATCGACGATAATTGTACCATGGCCGAATTCACGCCCAGCATATTGGTGCACGCAGTATCCAAATGCTTGTATAAAATTGAACCATTATCCACCAACATTCCGAAGGCACTTCCCGAAGGACTAGCAATGGCGCAGAGATTCTCCGTAGCTACAGCATTGTCAACAATTATATCCAATCTTAACTATCGCGGAGATATTGGGTATCAGACGTTCTTATACCCGAACGCAGTAGACGTTCGAAAATTGTTAATGTTCCTTATAGAAAAACTACCGCGCGATGAAATGGCGTCCACAGGAGGAGACTCCGGTTTATTGGGAGACCTAGAAATATGGCGTAGAAACGTCAAAGAAACAATTTTACACCAATTACACAAACCATGGGTACCACCATATTGCAGAAATGGATGTACTGGTCAAACAACAACCTTTAAACCTCATCACAATTTAAATTTTTTTGTAGAATTGTCAATTCCGGATCAAGGTGCTCATTTGGTGCAGCACAAAACGAGAAACATTTTCCAAAAAACTTCAGCTGAAGAATTCGATCTAATTAGTTCAATTCTACATCAAAACTCGTTTGATTTATATGCTGGCCACGAAAATTTCAACCGAGAACAAATAAAGCTTTCAACAAAAGAAATAGCCGACTATCAAACCTCAGATGTATGCAAATCTGAAAGATACGTTTCAACTGATATGGTGGACTCATCGCCTCTTATCAAACTAACAGATGAGGTCAATAAGTTCAAAGTTCAAAACGTTGAACTTCTATTAAAACGAAAAACATTAATAAGTGATATAAATTCTATGAAAAATCAACAAGGAGCCGTTCAAAAGGAACTAGAAAATGTCTGTGCAAAACTTAAACTTCACGAACGCACTTGCCTCGTTCTAGACAATCCGAAAGAGAATACTGGCAAATTAGAAACACTCATACGAAGCACTGTAGAACGTCGAAAAAACTTAGATCATCAATGGCATGACTACCGCCAACCGATGTTGGATACACTTGAACGACTGAGGTCATCCAAACAACTAAACTATTCTCGAAATCTGAAAAAAAAATCGGGAAATAATTACACAGTTGCAGCAAAACTTGGAACAAAGGAATGCACAACACAACGAGCTTAGCACGGAATTAAGAGCATCAAAAAATGATCGGGCAGCACCGCGAAAAGAATATATTCAAAGGATACTCGAATTTATATCAAATATACGGAAACAGCGCAGTGATATTTACAAAGTTCTGGACGATACGAGAGACTTGCAAAAGCAACTAAATTCTATATCCGCTCAATTACAACGTCAGTTTTGTTACACAGATGATCTACTTTTCCAGACAGCCAAACACGACATGCACTCAAAACAAGCCTACAAGCTTTTGGCCTCGTTGCACACCACATGCAATGAACTTGTTGATATCGTTGCAAAGACAGGAAATGTGACTAACACAATACGAGAGGTAGAGGTACAAATTGATCGTGAGAAAATAAAAAATGTTAGGGCAAGTTTACAACAAATAACGGCAGACATACAAAATTTTGAAAACATTATTCATAACATTCAGACCGATATTCGCGAAATAGAAAACGAAATTTCAAATGCTTAAATCTCGTGAATGTACGTACATACCAGTGTTGACAAAATGTTAATCTAATTAACGATTAAAAGGTTAATCACGATTAACGATTAAAATTAATTAATCGTAATCATCCGTACGATTAATAATTACATTTTTTTTCGTTAATCGTCGGTTGTGATTACGATTAATTAATTTTAATCATTAATCGTTAATCCAATTAAAAAAATCTGATTAAATGGTCTAGTTTGTCCGAATTTGAAACCAAACACGGGTTAAAGTTATTTTTTTTTTGTGTTTCATGCTTATAAAAAACGCATAATATTTAAAAAAAATTATAATAATTATTATTAGTAGTACATAAATTGGGAATTTTTGTAACCCATCGCACATGTGCGGAGGGATATTAAAACCTAGTTTGCTTAGCGTCTATTAAAATAGATCTTAATGAAAATGCACACCAAATAGCTTGTGTGTACAGTGAAATTCCAGCATAAATTAATTAATCATCAAACCTACTTAATCAAATTAGGGGTTAATGATTAAGAATTATTTTTTTAATCGTAGTTACGATTAACTGTTTAATCAGATTAAAATTAATCATAATTAACTGTAATCGGATTGAATTTAATCGAATTAACTAATTGATAAAAAAAATCAATCGATTAGTGCAAACACTGGTACATACATACATACATATGGGTATATTAGTCGTTCGCAAAATAATAAACATGTATTGCACATATAAAACTCTTCGTAAAAATTAAAGACAAATCAACGAAAAACTATAAAACTTTAGTGTTTTATTTAAGTAAAAATATTTGTCTACTTTTGGGTGGGGAAAATTCCGAAAGATACCGAAAGTACTCAAAAATAAACATGGCGAATTCGCTTAAAACAAAACACGAAGAATCCAGAAAAAAACATAAAAGGGCGAATAATTTCGTAGTTGCTATCGCAACTTGTCGCCGGAATTTCGAAGGAAATGCGTTTAAGGTTGCAATTTACTCCCAAAATGCAGATAGATACTTTTCCACGATATGAATGGCATAACGATAACTTTACATCATATGTTGAATATTCCGCTGTTGAGTAGGTCCGATTGTCAGGAAAATGTGTGTTATTCTATCGCTTACTTTATTTAATGGCTAATTATTACAACATATTTTTTATGTACATATGTACGTAAAGAGAAAGTTTGTATATGTATTTAAAAAAAAATATATAATATACTAAACAGGCTTAATTTTTTGAAAATACATTAATTTTTGTAGAAAAAAACAACATAGTATATACATGTATACACCCATACACAGTGTTTGTACATATGTATATACATTTACCTGTAATATGTAGTATATGGGTCAGAATTTCTGAAACGGGCCACTTCAATTGTGTGATATTTTATTTCCAATCAGCAGTGGTATTTTTTCATAGCTATTGACAATGCAAACAAATGTCTAACCAAGGCGAATTTATATAAGGTGGTGTTGTTTCATCAGCTGTGAGTAGCGTTTGATTGTCAAAATTTTATATTTTGCTAGTTAGTGAGTGAAAACGAGAGAATGTTTGCATTTTCTGTCGCCCTTTTTCATTCGGAGAAGAATAGCGGAAATTTGACAATGGCCCGCTAAAAGCAAAAACAAAATACAAGTAATTGTTGTATTTGTTGAATCGATAGCACCTTATATATATTCGCCTTGTGTCTAACTTTGATTTTACAAAAAAAAAAATTTCTTATATATCGACAAGTGTTTTTTTTTGTCTATTTTACTTCAAAATTCAATTACAGACGATCTAATTGACCGATTTTGACAATTCAACCCTCATTTTCATTGTTATTAAAAACTCTTCAAGAACATAGGTTTTATTTATTTAAAAATAATTTTTAAGTGTACATTTTTATAAAATTGTTGGTAAAAATATAAAAATAACACAGCAAAAAACCACATATGCAAAATTTTACTCTCTTTAAAATTCTGTTGAGAAAAAAAAGGATCGCAACGTTCAAAGCCGTTATTTTTAGTTGAAGGCTGACGCGCAATTCAACGAGCGCGTTCGGACTTATTTTATGCGTCGGAAACCAGCGTTCCCTCACCGGTTTATTTGTTTTCATGTGACAGAGTTAAAAATGAACAGAGGTAGATTTAAGTAAACAAGTAATTTTTAAGCAAAAAAAACGACCTCAATTCTTAAATAAAAATTTTAAATAATCGTTAATATCTTCATGATGCAATGATCGGATTTAAACCAAATTAGCATGGGAACACCTGTGAGGCAACAACTTTCCTTAACAAAAAAAAAAAAAGAATTATAGAAATCGGTTAACGCGGTCCAAAGTTATGCGGTAACATATGTATATAAAAAAAAATATTCCGACGAATTCATAACCTTCTCCTTTTTGTAAAGTCGGTTAAAATAATAGTTTTCCAATTCATTTATTGAACAAATATCTATAAAATTTAGAAAACAAAGGAACTCGTTTATTGTATTTAAAGAGAAAATAAATATCCTCCACATAGAGTTTCGTACAAACGTATTGACGCAGAAAATGTTCCGCAATATGTGCAAAGATTTTCATCCTAATGAGTTTGTTTCTGAATATTATAGATAAGAATTTCTTTTTTTTTTTTTTTGTAAAATCAAAGTTAGCATTGTCAATAGCTATGAAAAAATACCACTGCTAATTGGAAATAAAATATCACATAATTGAAGTGGCCCGTTTCAGAAATTCTGACTCATATACTTCTTTTGACGAATGTCCTAATTAATATGTAATTAAAAATTTTCCTTTTCTACCAAATCATGTACTAAACGCTCTTCGGTATGTCGGGAATCATTAACACCTATTTTTATTTATTTGTATGTAATCCGAGTACATACTTTTATGTATGTACATACTACTGAAAAAAATATTCTTAGTTAATACACAGTAATTTAAATTATAGGCCAATCCACTGTGTTTGTAAAATATATGTATTATAAAATTTTGTAGTTCAAATTAATAAAGAAATTATTGCGTTGTAAAAACATAACCATTTTAAAAGTGACCACTCTCCAAATACTTTTTGAAACTTTCATAACTTTCCGCCGATGTCCACTGTTCAATGATGGTCTCGAATTCTTCGTCCAGAGTCTTATTGATTGTTTCTAAATGATTGGTGATAACAGCTTTCTTCATAAATCGATATGACTGTAGGATAAGAGTTCAACTTATACACATCACGATTTAAAATATAGTTTGCGAAGAATCAATTTGAATAAAAATCAAAATTTATGTGGACATGTATATACAGTGCCGGCTACCTTTATAATCTCTCTTTTGATCCTCAAAATCGATAGTTGCCCTTTTGTATCCAACAATTTTTTTTATTGAGCTTGGAGCCGTTTCTTAATGAAAATTTTTGTGAGAAAAAAAAACATAATTTACATTTTTGGTAGAAGTTATAGCTATTTCGGAGATCATCACATCTCTTCATCAGACTTCTTCAACTGGGATTCGATCCAACGACCCCAGCCGCCATAGCCAGCACTGACTGACCCACTGAGCTAAGTTCGCCATGTAAACTGTTGTTGCTTACGTTTATTTAATATAAATTAATTTTTTTTTTACAAAAATAACCATGTTAAAAGATTTCCAAACTTTATTTTTTTTTACATTTTCACCAAAAAAGATTTATAACGTGCTAATTTCAAGCGTTGATTTTTGACAATTTTTTACCTCGGGAGTTGAGTATTTTCTTCTATATATATTTATTTTTATATGAATGAAATTTTCAATATCAATGGTGTTTTAGTCCCTTGAAATTTGTACTTTATAATATTTTTTTTTTATAAAAGTTAGAAATTTTGATGAAAATTCGTTAGATGGTTCTATTATTTATTAGTATATTTAGTATTTTTATAAAAATGTAATGAATAAATAAAATGAAAATCAATACTGAGGATCGAAAGAGGACGCTATTCATGTGACCGGCACTGTACGTACATATATGTATAGGCCCAATAACACGTCATGGATTTATTTAATGGAAAAATTAGGTTTTTTATTTAATCGAGAAACGAACTAACCTCTGAGGACATTGCTGCTAGTTTTTTAGCAGTGAGTAATGCGTCATCGTTAACTTTGCCCGAAGCGGTAAGTTTGTGCACTAATCCAGATAGCGCCGATTCAGTTGAATGCAATTTCTCTCCCAACCAAAAAAGTTTGGTTTTCTGTGATATATTGTAATATAAGAAATGTGTATGTAATTACAGAAAATTTTGACTAGCTTACATAATTATCACGGATTTTGGTTGAATTATTCCAAAAGCAATATCCTTCGGGGACTTGTCCTATTTTGACATATGGAGTTTCATATGAACCTTTGTCGCTTCCAATTACTACGTCAAACAATGGTAATTGCGTCACACCCAATCCAATATTGCTGCCGCTTACACCAGCTACCAATGGCTTTGGGAATGTTGCCAACATCTTTAGATAGTTCCTAAAGAAAGTTCCGTTTTCAAAACATTTTTTGCATGTGTTACTTTATTTTATTTTTTTCCATACTTAACCGCCGTTGCTAAATATACTGCTGTTAGTTTGCGCTTCTCCAATGTGCCAAATGTTAAATCCGTAAAATCGATGCCGTGACAGAAATTAGGAGCGTTTGTCGTAATCACCACGGCATTACATTCTGCATCTTTACTGAGTTTCTCTAAAATATCAACCAACTTATTCAACATCTGGAAAGAAAGTTGAAATGAATGATAATTCACATAAATATGTAACTAATACTACTAATGATCCACTTCTAATATGTATGTATATGATAGACACAGTAGATAGCGAAATTCAATGGAAAAAATAGCAAAACTTTATAATTGATAAAATCTAATTTTTAATTTTTTCTAAGCTTTGCTTCCTTTTAACCAAAGGCTTTCTCAATTACGACTTAGATTAGGGCCATTATGGAAATAGGTATGTCCGTAAATTTTCAAATAAATAAAAAGAATAAAATATACCTGGGCGGTGAATGTATAATTAATTTTCGCCTTCTGGGTGTTGAACACTATTTGTGCAACTTTTGCAACTTTTTTTACAACCACGTCTGAAGCATTGGATCCGGCCGGGGAATCCTCTTTCGTCTGCTTCGGAGATACTTTTGCGC